GTATTATTTGCCATTTAGGAACAGGTGTTAAATGTATTCTTAATTTTGTTTCAAGGATCACTTAATTTTACTTTTTCCCCATCAAGCTTGATTTCTCACTAAGAAACTTCATTTCGAAAGATACAACATTGTCGAAAGTTGAAAAAAAAACAACTGAACAGCTTTTACTGAATTAATCAGATCTTACAAGTCTCTGATATATTAATGAGAGAAATAATGAAGTGAACGTGATATATACATGTAGGCAAATCTTCCGTTACAAACACAGGATGAACTTGCTCCATTCAGTCTATACTGAATCAATGGTCGCTGAAAGGCCTGGAAAGCAGAGCACTTCTCACTATAATTTAGTCACCTTTCACTAAATTGATGTTTTGGTTGATTGATTGTATGTTGTTTAACGTCCCTCTCGAGAATTTTTCACTCATATGGAGAAGCTACCACTTTACGGTGGAGAGCTGCAAATTTTGTCCTATACTCGGTACTTAGGGCCATTGAGCAGTGAGGGATCTTTTTCAGCACTTACTGCAACACGGGACTCTCATTAAACAATCACATCTGAAGGACCCGTCTCCACGGTGGGATTCGAACACGCGACGTAAGGAGTAACCCTTTACGTCGCGGCTCTTGAGCATTCAGTAATTTGAATGACAGAGTTTTCTAAATCATGGATATATTGACTTTGCATTAATGGAGAATTTCGACGGACTTCGTCAGTTTTCAGACAAACAAGTCCATACTCTAGACTGAGATGATCCAGGAAGTCAGTTCTCACCACAACAAACAAAAATGTCTGAACAATTCATTAAAATAGCTCCACAGACATTTAATTGACTGTAAAGTGGTATTTAAAGTAAATATTATATATATAATAATATCTGAATACTTCTATTTTATTCTTCATATGAAGAGAAAATTCCCATTTATTATATATTTTTTGTATCTTTGAGTAGACCAAAGCTCCCTAAATGTATACTACTAGAACTTGTATGTAAGTGTTCGTGTGTTAAGAGCTTCATAAATCCAGCTGCAGAGATAAATGTGCATGAACAAAATAAACCTATGTTGTTTTCTGGATTTTTTGAAAGTTTGTTCTGTGGCATTTAATTTAGAAAACTGTGATTAATTTCAATAACTATACATGCATATAGTACTATTATAGTACTACGTATACGGTATATAAAATAATGTATAATTATATAATTTAATTATATGTTTACTTATCTATCAAATAGTGATTCTTACAAAATGTGTTATAAATAAGATGTAAGTCTTTTGCAATAAGGAATTGAATACTAGTACCCATGTATTTTAATTGGTTTGAGTGAATTAATAAATTGGATTTGAACTATATATATATATGTAAAATGAATTTTAAAAAATTAAATTATACATCAGAAATTCATTAAGATGAATTTATCTAAGATTACACACAGACTAGAGGAACTGAACTTTTAGCGAGGGAGATAATAAAAAGGGAATTTAAACTTTTCCCCTTCATATATTCAATAGCAAACACACACATTCGGTAAACACACTCGACTATTTAACGCCCGCTGAAGGATTCAGCGAATTGATCCATGTTTCTGATTACCTATTAAACATTTGCCCTTCAATCGTTTTCTTTTTATCAGTGTTTAGTTGCTGCCGTAGGTCATTCATTTAATGGCTCCCCGACGCGTAATCGAGAATAAATTAATACAGGTAAACTTTAAAGTTTAGATTCACAGTTTAGTGGGAAAAAACTGCACTTAAATCAAAATTTATCTCTAACATCACCCTACGTCGTTTTCGATTGAAATATGTACAAGGATAGGACTTGAAGAAACGTAGTGTGACGGAAAACTCCAGGGATGTGTCGTACTCTAAGGATGAACTTGGAACAAAATTAAAGAATATTTAAGGTTCTATATTCCTTAACTTGGCTCCCTCCTTCCTCCCCCCCTTCCCCCTCATCTCTCTCCCCCCTCTCCTTCTCTCTCTCACCAAATTGATCTTACATGTATAAAGTAATTTCTAATCGAACACTGACATTTCAACATAGAGTTAACCAGTATCAGATCAATCATTACACAATGTCGCTCTATTTAATAATATCATTTAAGACTGTAACACTGTCATGACAAGAGACTGATACAGAGTTAGCCCCCTTACCTGTGATCACCATATCATTGACGGGGGATCGGCGGCCCTGTCGCCTGTGGGGTGCGACCCCAGGGAGGGGCGGGAGTCTTCGGTGGGTCATCTGTCGGACAGGGGATGACATCATTCGGGAACTCACATCTCCTTAATCCGCTCACACGGCAAATACACAGCAATTCACCAGAAGCCAGTTTATACGATTTTATTCATTTAAATACCAATGACTTAGGAGTGCGCGGATTACAGAGCCAAAACCATTTTCACCTGATGGTAATTCGCGGGATCAGCAGGAGAAAGGTCGGGAGCGAGGCGGCGTTAATGGGTGTGATGTCGACATCGTCAACCACAGCAGCAGAAATCGATCTCAGTGTCCCCAGCCTTCCGTCAAAGCAGACGACACCGCTCGCGAGCTTCCTCCTGGTTATGACGTCAAACAATCTGATCAGCTTTTCAGAATTAATTGAAAAAATGCGGTTGCTATTGACGACGAATCCACGCTCGCTGAAAGAAGAATTTATGTAAAAAATATAAATCTACAGCTGAATGGAGCGTAAGGAACCTGATTAAATAATTTCAATGGATTTCGACCTGCATCATTTATTAATACCTTTATGAATTTACTAAGAAGTAAGACTGTGGTCATAAGGAATTTTTACAATAATTTCAAAATATGAAGGTTTTATATTACATCTATAGTGTATATTTTTTACTAAAGAGACACAAAACTTCAAACAAAAAATATTACCATGACATATATACTTTGGGGCTCTTTGCTTTAGAAAACATTGAAATATTTCATGCTAAAATCTGAATATTAACTAAGATCTTTTCCTGGTGAATTGCAAATAAAACAATTCAATATCTGATAGGTTTCAAATGAAAATTTTATTGAAAATTTTAATTATGGATATCAATTTTAAGCAAAAAAGCTTATCGATGACAATTTAGAAAAAATGATTTTCAAATGACATTTGGTTGAAATAAAATTATTTTATTTCATTAAACAAAATTGCTATCACGCTTAAAGGGAGGTAAACAGTAGAGAGATTTCTTGTGTTGATCAATAATTTACCGATTTTTTGAATGTCTATACATATAAAAAACTACATTTGGGCATTTTTATCCCACTTTCTACACATTTTATTACATTCTACTTGGTGTCCAAATGGCATTTTTTACATTATTTTATCAGAAATAATTAAATCGGCAATAAGAAACATACCTGAAAGTAATTCCTTCACAAAAATTGACAAATAATTGCCTCAAACGAGGTGTCAAATCGTCTTTAAAAGAGATTATTTCCTTTTTTCCATTTGCTAAATTTGAAAGACAGGGCCCTTTATTTATCCATGGAAATACACAAATATTGTGTTTGTCTTAGTAGAGAAATTTCCACACTTCATTTCTCTCGAGAAAGAGTTTAACACTTTAGATAAACATAAATCGAAGGTGAACTCCGACGTACCCATTCAAAAATATTGATTTAAAGATATATGTAACATTTTATTTGTGAAAATAGCGTATTTATGGAAATATGCATATGTGTCGCTTGGAGATTCATATACGAATGAAAGGATTTTCTCTATGAAAAAGCAAATGAAAAATCGCTCATTCAATCGAAAGAAATATTCCTCATCATAAAAAAATCAATGATTCCCTTAAATATACTATCAGAATATAATCTTGAAAGTTTCTAGGTAATTAAAAATAAAAATGAAAATCTTTGCATAACATCATGCGTAAAGGTTCTAGCCATTTAAATCAATCATAATTACTTCTTATTCTACTGTTGTTATATCTAATTTATAAAGCCCCGTTTTTAATCTCCTTTTGAGTGTGACGCATTCGGTTACACTCGTTAAATGTCGGTAAAATCCGTGATTATTGGAGCGTCATTAGCAACAAGGTAACAGTGTATTGGCTATAGCTCTGGGCCTATTCAACAAAGATTGGATTGCTGTTAATCATCATTGGATTCAACGTAAATATTTATCATAAAAGAAATTTCTTCAGAGCCATTTAAAAAGACAAAAATTTAGGACTTTCATTCATTGTTTGAGATTTCCATCATGGGATGTAAACATTCAAAAGGAGCAATCCGAATTCAGCCCGTGGGGCCGGCAGAAATCAGGAGGGACAATTCTAAGCTGAAGAAATGCAACAGTGATATGAACATAGAAGTAGACCCCAGCCGTAAGGCCGGGAAAAAGAGCGCTATGCGCCGGACAAAGTCCCAGAAATCAACTGGGAGTCACCTAACGGCCTCGTGTGCCAGTCTGGATTCCCAGCTGTCCTACTCGGATTCTCCCCGGGGGCAGAGCGCCACCTCCAAGGTGTCTAAACATAGCACAGACTCCGGACTCGGGGAGGAGTACGCCCACGTAATCACGGAGTACTCCCCCGAAAGTGACATCCAGAGGATAGAGGAGGACTTCCGGGAGAATGAGGGACTCGGTAAGTTGTCTGTGTAGTACTCACTTCTTTAATTTAAGTACTCACTTTATTAACCCAGGTCTGGTTTGATACAATATGGAAGTTGCAGGATTATGAATCTGTTGTAGGTAAATATTTATACCTTTACATGTGTATGTGTCGCAGACTTCGGGAGGATGACGGAAAACATCCATATAAAGTGGAAAATAAGATTTAAATAGATCTAATTGTGCGCCTATTGCACTAAATTCCAGTCTTTCCACATTTCTTTACAGATTTTTTCCATCTAGGAATTCTAGATCAATTAATCAAACACATTAAATATAATTCACTTTATTTTTGTTATGAAATATTTCTGTGTACCCTGGAAAAAAAAAACAATCTTATCATTCCTCAGTTAGGAAAAAATCCCTTTGAATATGGTCAAAATTATTGTGAGTTAGCTGTTTTCATTTGGTAAGCATTTACGGAATTTATTTTAAGAAAATCGATTTTTATATCTTAAAATTCTAACCAATGCAAACAAAAACTTCCTGTCAAATGCAAATCTATTTCATCTCTTTTTTTTTAAATTAAATGTTGAACTTCTTTTTATCAAACCCTTGACAATCTAAATCTAGAACGCCTTCAATGAAGGATTTCTTGGTAACCTTGTCTCTATCCCTGTTCTGTTTTATCGTTGATTCTTGTGATTGCAAATAAGTTTTTTATCACAGGTACGGACAGGTAAAAACACGTGCAGCACTGTTAACGCTGCACCTTTAATTAAAGGCAATTTACCGTTTAATTATTCAAAACAATATTGTTTAAACTCCATTCCCGTTAAGTATTGATTTGACATCGCTCTTGACACTTAATTAAAGCCCTAGTTAATTAAATGTATGTCTGCCGCTGCCATTAAGACGTCAGTTATAAACATAATGATTCTTGAATATGATATTTGTTTGTTTTCCTAGTAATTAAAAAAAATATCACTATTAAATTCTTTAGATAAAAAAAATCATTTTTATTGATAATACGGCCTACCCAAAGATAGGAGAACGAATTTATTTATAATTTCACTGAAGAAAAAAGAAAAAAGGTTTAATAAAAAAACAACGGGAAAATACCCCAGTTCTGTTCCCCCTGCTTTGCCCTATATTATTAACACAATTACGAAAGAACCGTATGACCCAAATGAACAAGTGTCGGATTTCTTACAGGTAAAAGTAACTAAAAAAGGGGGATATAATCAATCCGATTTACTATTTGCATTATGTTTAATACCACAAAGCTCTGTAAATGTATTAATGTGTTGTAAGAGGATAGATTTTCTCGGTTAGTGAAGGATTTGTTATTGGCGATTTAATCAGTGATGCTTTTCAATTATTAAACAAATTCACTGTTGTATATTTAGAACTGATAAAAAAGTGCGTAAGATATTTAAAACCTAGAAATGAATTTGACTTAAATATAAAGTATTAAATACCAACTCGACTTAAAAAATAATAAAGTAAGAAAATCAAAACTTTTATTCTATATGAGAATTTGCCATCAGACAGTAGAGGGCGCGATATGATTTCGGGCAGTGGTCGACCTTGAAACCCTGATAAATTTTCTACCGAGATAGGACGCTCCCGTCATCTTTTCTTTCATAAATGGTCATGTGATCATTAATATTTTGAAAAATGCCCCTTATTTTGTCAAATACGAACGTGAAATAAAAATTTATCATCAATAAAACACATCGTCAAGAAAACAACCAACTTGCGCTGTCTGAAAGGAAAAAAAAAATAGTCTTTTGCACTATCTACTTAAGATGGGGTCAGTGAGATTTTTTCTTACAAAATCTGATTTTTTTTAACTAAAGCACAACAAAGCACTGGCAATTGAGATCGAGTCGACATTCGCTACACCTTTTATGTCTTTTTTTTAAAATGATATGCATGATTCTGATGGTAAAACAAACAAACAAAAAGTATTCTAAACGGGAGACACAATTATAAACATTAAATTTTAATATTTCAGATTTAGGGATTTCTGGAACAGCAATCCCCGTGCGAACGAGCGCCAAAGACCGCGAGCGGATGCAGGAAGCCATGATTATGCAGGCCCTACGAGAGGAAGGACTAATTACCCGCCCTCAGGCCCAGGGCGCCTCAGGGGTCAGTTTCGAAATAACAGAAGATGGCGCCATGATGAAGCGACCACCTCCCCGACTCGAAAAGCTGGAGAGGAGAAGGAAGAAGAAAAGAGCACTGACTGAAGATGAGATCAAAGAGAAACTAGAAAGAGCAGAGAGGAGGAAGAGGGTATGACGTAACAAATGTCGAACCCGATAAAAATACAATTTCTTTTATTAAAAAAACAATTGTTTTTGCTGTTTTGAAAATGGCTTTGTTTTCTTTATCAGAAAATGCATTTATTTATTTATATTTACAGAGAAAGGAACAAGAACGGTTAGAGAAAATCAAAGAAAAAGAGAGGTCGAATCCAAATGATGCGCTAGAGGCGTTTGCGCAGATGCAAAGAGAGAAAGAGGAGCAAGTGAATAAAAAACTAGACTCTGTATCCGACAAACGAGAAAAAATGCTTAAGGAGAGGCAGGAGAGACAGAAAGAAAGACAGAGACGGGCCGAGCTGGTCAGGCAACGAAAACAGCTGGCTTCCATGGAAGGCAATGAACAGGAAGATGACGTCATACCAACTGGAAATCAGCTAGATCGATCCTAATCTAAAAAAAAAGTTATAGTTAATTTTTACATCTAGTCTTGTTTGGAGCTCGTTCAGATCACTGCTCTTCATTTTCGAATGGAAATAATAGTAAATCTGATGCATAATGTTGTTCTGACACGTATACATGTGTAGGGTAGGAATGAAAATCTTATCAGTACTTTGTGGACATATGAGCATAATGCAGAGATGAGCATTCATATTTACATCTCAGAAAAAAAAGGTTTTCTAATGAATTTTTATTTTTACAAAGTGAACTGTTATATAAATGAAAAAAAAGAATAGAATGTTCCAATTTTTAAGTTGATTTTTTCTGAAAATTTTTTTTTCGGGAAGAGTTAACAAAAATTATCAGTATTGTTGTTTAAGAAATTGTATTTACTTCGCCAGTATTAATGTTTTTATGTAACTCAGTATTATCATGCTTTTAAGATCGGATACTTTTTCACTGTGATAAATGTATATATTATATAGATTTATTTATGAATTTTGTCAATAGGTCTCCCATTGTTTGAGATACACTCAGGACTCGGGAATCACTGTATTGATGAAAAAGTATTAATTATTATATAATCTAGAAGTGTAGCATCCCTTCATATATAAATGTGCCTGGTGATGCTCCTGTTTGTTAATTATTAAAATTATTCATCTGTTTGTTGTCTTTTTTTTTGTATTTTTCGGCAACATCTGAAAAGATAATTTTTTTGCTGGATGACATTCTAATATACACGACATATGGTATTACGAGACTATAATGGTCTCGAATATATAAAGATATAAATGAAATGGCCATGTGATAGATTTGAAGAAACAATGTAGAAAAGTTATAGAAATATATGGAAGATTATGCCAGATGTTTGGCTAAATATGAAGGATTAGACTTTAAAAAATATTGTCAAAAGTGGTGTAAATCAGATGTGGATACTCTTAAAAAATTCCAAGGATTTTTTGGACAATTTGAAATCAAAATTTTACCAAAATCATAAGATAAGAAACTTGCACTTTTCAACAACCAGGCTTTTCGTTATGATTGACAGCTGCTTTTTCAATACAAACGGAACCAGTTATTTTTTTTTATCTTGTCATTGGTCATTTGCAAATTTATTTTGTTGAAAACATTCTGATTGTACACACACATACTCTGAAGTTGACATCAAAAAGATGCTAGAATTTTGATTGACAATGTCTACGTGGTTTTTGGAGACTAGGTCTTCCAACAATCTATTGGAATTCCCAATTGGGTACCAGTTGCGCCCCGATATTAGCAGACATATTTTTGTTTTCATATGAAGCAGAATTTGTCCAAAATCTTGTACGTGAAATGAAGAAAACACTTGCTGTGACCTCAAGTGACATTTAGATACATGTATATCGACGACATACTGTCAATAAACAATGGTTATTTGCATTTTTAAGACGATACGATATATTCCAGCGAGCTAAGGAGATAAAAGAACCACAGAGTCTGACACATCTAAGTCTGTGGTATCTTTTATCTCAAGCTCACCAGGATATATCGTATCGACGTAGGAATGGAAATTTCCATTGTTAATTGACAATATCTAAATGTCGAGTTGAAGGCCACAGAAAGTGTTTTCTTTTTTTCACGCATAAGACTTTGCACAAATTCTGCTTCATACGAATACAAAAATATATCTGCTTATAACGGAGTGCAATTGGTACCCATGGGAATTCAAATAGATTGTTGAAATACCTTGTCTCCAAAAACCACATATAGATATTGTCAATTAGAAACTCAAGCATCTTCTTAATGTCAACTTCTGAGTACTTGTGTGTGCAACCAAATGTGTTTTAACAAAATAAATTTACAAATGACCAATGGCCAGGTAAGTAAATTTACAAGTTCCATTTTTATTGAAAAAGCAGCTGTCAATGATATCAAAAAGCCTGGACTTTAATTTATCGTGGGGAATGGTTGTGTATAAAGTTGAAAAATCGTAAGTTTTTAAGCTGTTTATTTTGGTTAAATCTTATGATTTCAAAATGTCCAAAAGTTCTTTGGAATTTTTTAGTATCCACATCTGATTCACACCACTTCTTGAATATATTGTTACAAAGTACTCTTGAAGTTTTTCCTTCACTACTGTCAATATCTTAGTGAGGAGTAACGAAAGAGGCTTGGTTAAACATTTGAAAAGACGAAAACACTTGCTGTGATCTTCAACTTGACATTTAGATACTGTAGATCACTAAATTTTCGCGACACCTTATTTTCGCGAGATTGTCATTGAAGCTTTGTAAGCGAGACATAATTTTCACGAATAGTTGTTATTCCTCTATATAATCGTAAGGAATACTTTGATACGCGAGAATTAGATTTTCGCGAACGCATTGTCTCGCGTAATTACGCGAAAATAAAGTTCTTGTGAATAAACAGTGATTTACAGTATACATGTATCGATGTTGTATTGTTAGTTAACAATGGTAAATTAGATAGATAGATAGATAGATATTTATTTGGTATACAGTACTACACATACGTTGCAATATTCACAATATAATTTAAGATATATATATATAAAAGATGGCATTAAACAATATAATTAATATAAAATATCGGAATCAATCATTTTTGAAAGACATGAATTAATAAATTTGATTCACATAAGATTATATTTGTATACCAAGGATAACCCATGAAAGCCAATGGCTTATTTCCAATGGGGTCCTTATACTCAAACATGTATATTTTAATTGGATGTTAAATAATATAAGCAGATAAATATAAAATTAAAATACTATAGCTAAGATATGGGATCAAGTTGACAACACAGAGATCCTTAAAAATGAAGTGTATTATGAATGTATACCAAATATTCACATGATTGTAATTGGAACAACTTATACTAATAATAAAAACTAATTAAACACAACTTGACTTTTACACTGGGCAATTCCCCTTTCTAATAAAAATTTCTTGACATTTCTTTTAAAAGCAAAATTATTTCCAGTATTTAAAACAGGTTTAATTTCTGCTGGTAACATGTTCCAGTCTTTGATTCCATTAAAATAAAATGATTCAGATTGCTTTTGCTTAGTTATTGGAACGACAAAATCTGCATTTGAAACTGATCTAGTATGATAGCTACTAAAATTTGACCGTAGTATAAAATGTTCATTAAGATAAGAAGGGGCTTTTCCTTGAAAAATATTAAAAACATGGTTGAGTCTAAGCTGAGAAACTCTATCTTGAATATTTAATAAATTTAATTGACTAAGTATTTCGTAATTAACAGATGCCTGTGGACCTAAATTCAAAATAAAACGAACCATCTTGTTTTGACAAATTTGTAACCTTTTCTTTAAAGTTTTGGATAGCCCTGCATACCAAGCACTACAGGCGTAATCAATATGGCATTGTATTAATGCTGAACACAGAGTCATTTTACAAAAAGTATCTAAAAACCGGGCTTGTCGGTACAGAAATCGCAATCTATTATTTACTTTCTGGACAATCGATTCAACAATGTATTCACCACTTAAACATTTGTCGATCAAAACTCCAAGATATTTAACTTTTTCTTTACAATCAATGTTATGGTCATTACATACAACCTGGAATTTTTCAACATTTTGAAGCTTTCTTTTGGAACCAAATAAAATGCATTCAGTTTTACCTAAATGTAACGATAATTTATTATCAACAAGCCAGTGCGAAGTCTGATCTAAAACTTTACCAAGCTTTTCTGATATAAAATCAGGATCTTTATGTGCAAATAAAATGGCACTGTCATCAGCGTATAAAATAAGTTTACAATCTGCGTCAACACTAGTAACCATGTCATTAACGTAAATTAAAAATAATAAAGGGCCTAGAATACTGCCCTGTGGTACACCACAAGTGATAATACCAGCATCTGATGAAATTCCATTACTGTGAACAAACTGGTTTCTTTCAGACAAATAAGATAAAAACCAATCAACAACATTGAACACCAATTGCTTTTAGTTTTTTACAAAGTATGTCATGGTCAACAGTGTCAAATGCCTTTTGCAGATCAAGCATAACCATTCCAGTATATAATCCCTTTGCAGTATTATCTCTTATAAAATCAAATAAATGTATCAAACAAGTTTCAGTGGAGTACTTACTTCTAAAACCAGATTGAAACTCATATAAGATATTATTACGATCTAAGAATTTTGAAAGTTGCATATGAACAGATCTCTCTAAAATTTTTGAAACAACACTAAGAATACTAACCGGTCTATAATTACCTACTTCTAGTGAACTGTTCTTTTTGTGAATAGGTTTCACCCTAGCTGTTTTCATATCTTCAGGAACAATGGAAGAAGAAATGGATAAATTTACAATATATGTTATAGGAATCTTTAGAAAATCAGCTCCATCACGAATGAACCTAGCTGGAATATCATCAAGCCCCGTACTTTTAGAAGGGTTCAATTTTAAAAGCTCTTTGTACGTATACAAAACTTTCACTGACTGTTTTCAGAGTAAAAAGATTATCATTTTTGGAATAAAAAGATTTAAAACGTTCACTATCCACACTAAAAATATTTAAAGGTGTGGGGAGTTTGCTTACCAGTGAAGCTGCAATATTAACAAAAAAATCATTAAAATGATTTGCAACAGATTTTGGTTCATGACAAATATCATCATCAATTTTTAAGCAGACATTCCTTCTGTCCTGACGTTTATTATTAAGCCCAAGGTCTCTTAGGCTCTGCCATAGATTTTTCGGGTTATTTTTGTTTTCTTCGATTTTACTAGATATGTATTCTGTCCTTGCAACTTTAACGTCTCTCTGTATTTCATTTCTAATTCTGCAGTAGTTTTTGTAATGTTCTTCCTGTTTTGTTTTCCTGTATGAATAAAGTAAAGAATCTCTTTCTCTGATCTTTTCGAGGATGGACGATGTTATCCATGGTTCAGTTCGTTGTTTTAATCTAATTTCTTTGACTGGGGCTACTTCATCTAAGACCATTTTGAAAGTATGTTGAAAAGCCCTCCATGCTTGATTGACACATGTAGAGAAACTTTGAGTCCAATCTGCTTCTAGTAATTTCGTCATAAAAATATCAGGGTTATAATTCTTTAAGGTGCGTATAGTAATAGATTGATGTGATTTGAAATGACCTTTCGAGATCCTCCTTGAACAAAATATAGCACAATGATCACTAAGACCAATGGGTATGGTTCCAAACTGAGAAATATTTTCTTTTCTGTTGGTGATAATATGGTCAATAATAGTTGATGATGATTCTGTTGTTCTAGTGGGTTCGTTGATAATCTGGTTTAGGTCAAAAAGATTCAAGACATCTTTATATGCTTTAAGAATGCTATTCAAATCATATGTCATTACGATACTAGTATATTTCGGTTAGCTTGAGATAAAAGATACTACAGAGTCTTACACATCTGTTTCTACATGTATTTGGATGTTTTAATTGAAAAAGACCTTAATGGTAATCTTACAAGCAAGCTCTATTATAAACTTGACGACTTTAACTTCATAATCGTCAATCTCCCTTACTTAAACCTCCATCACCTGCAAACGGAGTTAATGTATCTCAGTTGATTTGATACACAAGAGCATACTCTATGTATGAACAATTCCTAAAACAAGGTAAATCATTGACCAACAAGTTGATGAAACAAAAATATCAACAGTGTCGTTAAAAATCATCATTTCGTAAGTTCTATGGTCGACACAATGACCTTGTCAGCAAACACAATTTATCATTGAGTCAAATGCTGACTGACGCTTTTGATACGAATTGTTACTCAGTATTTTATTTATTTATACCAGGAATTGACGACGGATTTTTCCGTTTTTCCCGATCATGACAAGGAGCACAAGGCAGGTGTGACTGGTCAGCAGGGAATGCTCACTTCTCCATGGCACTTAATCCCATCTTTGATGTTTGGGAGGTCTGTTTGCTCTGCCTCTAGCAAAGATTTAATTTTCGCATTATTAGCGAGAGCGCCAAGATCGCTAAATTGAATATAGCTAAAAATTAATAGCACTTAGTTTGTAATAGCTTCTTTGGGGAGGACTCATTACCATAAAAAATATTGTCACATAATATTCTTATTCACTTGAAGTTTGGTTTGTTTATTTTTCTAGTAAATATACCACATTATGAACATTAATGTATATTAAAACATATTTTAGTTCATGAAACACGTTGAATGACTCAAAGAAGTGAAGATATGAATAATCTTTAAGAACGAACCAGTTGAAATTGCATTCCCCTGAATATAGTAATATTTATAACAATGACGACAGTTTTATTAAATAATGATGAGGACAGAAATGAGTTACAATTTAAACAACTGCTTTAAATCAAATAAATAAAATTAAGAAAATGCTATGAATGCTGTTCCTAAAATTCAAATAAACACATTAATTAGGATTTGTTATCGTCCCTATAAATAGTTGAACTTTTCACTGCCCTTGAAAAATAATGATTGAGGGCGCTTTAGTTGGAACTTCCTTTACCAATTATCCAGCATCAACAAAGGATCGGTAACATATTTCCTCTTGTTTGGAATACACTGTATTATTATTATTTAAAACTGATAATTGAATTTACCAAATGATTTGAAGTAACTCATTAATGAGTAGGAATATTGAGACTATTTTTTTTATGTATATTTACTCGTATGTATTCTTTATTCGAGAAAAATTTGAACAGGTCGTATGGTGAGAGATTGTTAATGTTTTGATGAAATTCCATTAAAATTAATAAAACTTTTGGTCACTAAATACAATAATTGGGTTATATGTTAATGTTGTGATAGAAATAATTATTAATAACTAGAAGTATCATCTAAATTCTAGGACTTAAATAAAATCACCCAAACGGATTTTTGTCAACCATTTTAACAATTTTTATTTTGTTGATACTAAACTCCTTTTACTCATGTATCTACATGTGCACATCGCTGATTGGTTCAGTATTTTTATCAGGCTAAAATTATTGGCCTGTATTTAAGTCAGATTTATTTAATAACCCTACAACATGGCTAAAACAACCGGGCTTGTAACATCAAATTAGGAGACCCCGATAATGACACGAGGCAGCGATTTGCAGCAGCTATGCTGATCTCTAGGTCATGTTAAGCAAAATAGGGTAATTGTACGGAAATGGTGGGGTCCGTAGTGGCATAACAAATAATAAAGAATCACATCATGTACGGAAAAGTTTATTCAATTTATTATAGAAATTGTTTAGAGTGATTTACTATATTACAATGTATCATGTATCTATGTATAAATATGCAAATTTATCATTAATGGCTTTTAGTTGTGTAATAAATACATTGTTATATAATGTATAATATTTTTTTCTTCAGTCATGTCAATTATGTATATTAAAATGTTATTTATAAATCTAATGTATCTGATGATACAAAGAATAAAGGAACTGAATTGACAAAAATATCAAATTATGACTAATTATTAATTCAATTAACGTAGAACCTACGACGTGTGACATCATATGTTTAGCCAGTGCTAGAACTATTATGACGTCATAATCAATTTAATGTTACTTTTCCTCGTAATTTACAGTAACATCGATAAATAACTTATTTCTCGTTAGTTTGACGGGAAAGATAAATACTTTATTAACGTTTTGGTAATAATTTTGGTATGTTCTTCATCATATGAAAGGTTGAAAACATTCTGACAAAGACTTCTGAAAAATAGTGATAAATTTAGGGTGGAAAAATGACTAAAAATAATAGAGTTCATTTGCCTATTTTTTCTTAAATGGAAAATAATCTTTTATATCAATAGAATAACAAAAATATTAGTTTAATACTGTTCAGTTAATAAAGTAGACGAACGACGATGTTAAAATAAGTATTTTTGAGATTTTTCATATTATCTTTATGACAAGTACTCCTAAAATGACTGAAAATGTGTAGTTGCAGTATGTAATTACCATATCATGTTTCACTGGCTGATATTGTGTAGTAACAATGTGAAATTACCATATCAAGTTTTACAGGTTGCACTACATTCAATAACAAGGAAACATGTCATGTGCTTTTGACTGATTGATAAGTGGGTGTTAATTTATCATTTTGAAAAGTTTGAAAATCTTGTGACAAAGACTTTTCCGACATAGGTTCTACCTTAAATAAGCAAAAAGTTTCATAAAAGCTCCCCATTTTAATACCAGTGTTTAAGGGAGAAACACATTTTTTCTGTAGGTGTATTTTGGCAATCAATTAAGTAAGAAGATAGTTCAATTGCATTTGACGCTTTTTATGATCAAATAAAACGTTATTCTATTATTAAGAACAGAATTGTCAAATAATGATGATTTTGAAATTTAAAATACCTTTATTATTGCAGCAATCCAAAACAAAAGAGACAGTATAAGTATGAATCTGTATTTGGCATTCGTTTCCTTCCTTTTCCTTTCAGTCGCTGATTCTGTTCTGGGAAGAGGTTTGTTTGCTTTGTGATATTTATTTATCTGTTAGAATTTATTTATTTTCCACTATATTAATTTATTTACAGGAAATATTTGGAGATAACGAACAGTATTTGAGTTCAAAAGTCCATGAAAGAAAACAAAAATGAAGCAGAGCAAACACAGACCTCCGAAACATCATAGGGGGGATCAGGTGCCATGGGGAGTGAGAATCCCCTGCCTACCGGTCACACCCACCTTGTGCTCCTTGTCATGATCGAGAAAATCCATCATTTATTTATTTATTTATTTATTTATTCAGTATTGAAATAGCTTGCTTGGAAATTTAAGTAAATTTACATATACTTTTTAGATTCAGATAAAAAACAAAAAAGTTTAAGGTTTGAATTTTACATGTAATACCAAAATCAAGGGAGCATTCTTATTTTTTTCTCTGTCTAAAATGAAAATTAAATGTCTAGGTGTTTTACGTTTCATTTATTTTTATTATACGGATTTGAAGGATACCGGTAGTATATTTTGTTCCTGCCCATAATTTCACTGTTTTATATTCAAGTGGAAATCTGATTATTTGAATAGAGTATGCACAGTCGTGCTGAATTTTTAATTTCTATGCGTCCAATAAAATAAACCCCATCCTTTTATGCAAAAGGAAAAAAAAGATGTAGACAATACATTATAGTCAACAGTTAGGTTTTATTATTAATATTAGGGAAAAGGTTTGGGACCACTTCGTTGTATTGTCTTCTTTTGGAATCTATAAAACGTCCATTAATTTTAAAATGCAATAGATGAAATATATGGAGATAACGAACAGTATTCAAGTTCAAAAGTCTCTTAAACAATACAAAGGGATTAGAGGCCATGCAGGAGTAAGCATCTCCTAATCACTGTGGTTCTTGTATGGATCGGGAATATTGAAAAATCTGTGAACAATTCTAATGAAAACAAATAAATGGTATATGAATCCTAATAAAAATTGTCAGGAAACATTCGATGTAACGGTAAAGTGTATTTCCTAACAAGGTCATTATTTCAACAAAAGAAATGCATCTATTTTCTTTGGTTTCATCGTCTTATTTGTCAGTAGCTGGCTTCGTTTCAAAAATTGTTAGCTTGTAGGCATGCTCTTCAGAATTGAATAAATTCAGAGACATACGAGTAAATCCAATATGCAGGTGATATGACAAATTTAGTTTAGTTTAAAATATATTTATTCATTAAGAAATGGATTGAACAGCAGGCAAAAATGCCTATGATCGTTCTCTCCATAGGTCAAGGTACAATTACAAGTACATGTAAACATTGAAAAAATGTATGAAGAGTAGATTATCAGTTGGTATATATTTAGAATGAATTCAGAGAGAGAGAGAGAGAGAGAGAGAGAGAGTAAAACAAATGAATAGAAAAAGTATAATTTAACAAATGAATAGAAAAAGAATAATAATTATATAAAACATAAACATAAGAAAAAAAAACATAATATGATTGAGCAGTTGTTGTTGACTCAGAGTAGGAAGAATTCCTTAACAAAGCAGTTTACATAAAATGATATGACAAATTTCAACATAATTAGGGAAGTTGAGAATGGAAAAGTTGAATAATCCCATTTGTCATAAATGAATGGAAAGGTATTTTTTGTTTTTATGCTCCATGTAATTATTCCATTTTTTTATTATTAGGTATTTGTGGAACTCGTCAATACAACCCTGCATTTGAAATTTGCTGCAACGGAGTTGTAAACAGTCGATCCAGGGGAAACCAGTGCTGTGGAACTACCTCATACAGCTCTGGTTTCAATATTTGTTGCAATGGAGTTGTAAATAGTCTTTATAGAGGCAACCGGTGCTGTGGAACTACCGCATACAGCTCTGGTTTTAATATTTGTTGCAATGGAGTTGTAAATAGTCTTTATAGAGGCAACCGGTGCTGTGGAACTACCGCATACAGCTCTGGTTTTAATATTTGCTGCAATGGAGTTGTAAATAGTCTTTATAAGGGCGATACGTGTTGTGGAACTACCGCATACAGCTCTGGTTTCAATATTTGCTGCAATGGAGTTGTAAATAGTCTTTATAGGGGCAATAGGTGCTGTGGAACCACTGCGTATAACTCTGGTTTTAACCAATGTTGCAATGGAGTTGTTTGCTAGGAAAATAATTGTCCTGAAAAAAGTTTTATCTTCTCCTATGTTGTAATTATTCTTTTCTTGAAAATAAAATATTGTTTCCTGTGTATTTACTGTTCATTATAGAAAATCTTTTATATAGATTTAAAAAATCAGCTTTGAGCAAACTGTAACGATAGTGATATAGAATTGTGAATTGAGAAAAACCTTTCTTTTTTTTTGGTCACATGAGTAACTCAGATTACCTATTGCTATCTGTTTTTCTCTTTCGTCCTGCGTTAAGATTTAAACATTTTCAGCTTTTTCTCTGAAAACAGCGAACCAATATCGAACAATTCTGGCATATAGCATCTATGGTTGAAGGGGAACAAAAATTGTGAATTTCATGGTCCCTGACCCCCCCCCCCCCCCCCCCTAGGGACTAAGACCAAAACCAATAATTTAATGCGATCTTTAAAAGTCTTCTTCTTTACTCTTGGACTTCAAGCAGTCAAACCACTCGCATGATTTTAACTAGATACGATCTCGTTGCGAGCAACGAGAGGTCTTCCGTCAGATTCAGGAAAAAAAAAACTTAAAAACTTAAAAATTTTGATCACAAGGAGGAGTGAATCCAGGTCGCCAACGGGAATGCGCATTTTTTTCTCTTTTCTCCCCAACGCGCAAACCATTAAGCTATTGGGAATACTGCTTTAAATATACTTGTGTATACTTTTGCAACAGTGCACCTGTCTAAGAATCATAAAAGGCGGGACACTATTCATAATTTCGTGTCAAACGCCACGCATAAATATTCGCACCTTTTCTTTGTACTGATCTATTAAAGAGGTGCAATAGCTTGAATGAAATTAATTAAATAAAACATTCTTATCACCTTTATTTTATTTCGGCGTTAGGAAAGTATATTTAACACATTGTACACATTACATATCGTATCTAGCCCAGTAACACTAAAGCAGTGAGACGTAAATTAAGTTTTTTTTAAGATTGACACTGAATTGCAACATTCTACTACGTGAGAGTACAAGTAGTTTTTTGCATTTCATGTATCCTTATGTCAAAATGGTTTAATCAAACGCTCAGCTGCCTCCATAAGCCCCTACTCGCGAAATGTCGGAGTTGACAGAGACAGCCGCCATCTTGGGCTCGCTTCAGATTTTCAAATATTAATATCTAGAGCTCAGATTAACCAATATTAAAACAACTTATATAGTAAGCATCAATAGAAGTGTCTCTATTAATATTCCAAAAATAAATGAAAAATATTGAAAAACAAAGAAAGTTGAAAATTTGGACTTTTTGAATTGGCTTCCCGTAGCGACAGGAAGTACTGACGACGAACGAAAAGTTGCGTCCTGGAAAGTATTGATCATCATCTATAAACTCTGAAAGTTTCACATTGATATCTTTTACCGTTTTTGAGTTTAATCGTAGACAAAATGTCATTTTAAAATCAGGAAAATGGTCCAAAACTTGGCACCAGAGAGGAATTTCCAAAAACTGTCTTGGAACTTTCAAGAGTATCTTACAACACATCTTTCCTGAAATTTTCATGTAATTCTATTCAGTAGTTGTCGAGATATCGTGTCAGAAAAATAATAATAATAATAATAATAAGAAACAGAGCAATAACTATAAGGTCTTCCGTGAAGACGGAAGACCTTAATAAGCATTAGCCCTCTTCTAAATTTGTGAAATTCATGGCCCCCATGGTCAAAGGTACTGGTGCTAGGGCGGGCTCTGTTGAATGTATAGTAGTGTGTTAGTTGATTTATTTTAAACACATTATAGAATAAATACAAAATTAATTTAAAACATTAATATATAATTACAGTTATAGCTTTCCATAAATGTATTCTTATTCTATTTAGATATTATATCAGAAAGAGGTTTCCATACTAGTTCTTGTCAGTTTTTCATGGATCATTGAATTCTTGGTTGAAAGTGTAGGTCGTGTGATTTCTATTGATAATTTGTATTTTTTCAAATAAAGTCTAAAATGGTCATTTTGATCTAGAAACAGAATTTTGTGATTTGTTTACCTTGTACTTTATTTATCCATAGAAGATTCACTTGATAGATGTAGGTATAGCTGTAACCTGATTGTTGTAGCTGTAACCTAGTGTTCGATACAATATATTGGACAAAATTGTTATCGCTTTAAAAAGATTGAGAACATAAAAGAATCTTTCTTGTTACTGTGTGAACCCGGTAACTTATAGTGAAAATGCATTATTTCTTTAAAAATCTTCTCCTCTGGTCCTAGGTATTAAGCCAAAAAACTATGTACATAGTTATGGTTTGGAAAAGTGCTTCTTCCAAAATTGTGAATTCTTTAGCCCCTGGGCAGGGGCTCTGGTTTGTGGGCGGGGGTTGTTATGATTATATAGTGAAAATGCATTATTTTTTTTTTAAATCTTCTCCTCTGATCCTGGGTATAAAACCAATAAAATACATACATAGTTATCACGGGCAAGAATACTTCTTCCAAAATTGGCACGAGTTGGTGTCAGGTGTTGTTAGGGTGGGTGGGGCTCCAATTATTATATAGTATAATGCATTAATTCTTTTTGAAATCTTATCCTCTGTTCCCTGGAATTTAAACCAATCAACTATGCACATAGTTGTGATGAGGAAGAATGCCTCTCCCAAACTTGTGAAATTTTAGGGCCCCCGAGTCAGAGGTTCTTCTGCTAGCGCGGGGCTCTCTTGAATAAAACATGATTTACTCTGTATTATTCCAATGACCTAAGTACATATTTATGATGAAAAAAAGATTCCTCTTCTAAAATGATGGATTTCATGGCCCCTGGGTCAAGGTTACCGGAGAGTGGGAAGGTAACATATTCTTAAGATGAATTAATACTTTAAATTTTGTTGTTTGGTATTAATTAACAAATTTTCATCATTGAAGGTGCCTTTTCAAAAATAGCAAAATATGCGGCCCCAGGATCAGTGGTTTCTGTGAATAAAACTTTACTTGTTGTATAGTCGAAATACATTTTTTCTTTGTTCCAGTTCTATCTCTGGGTATGAAGTAACCAAAGTAAGCAAGCTAAGTGTACATTTATGATAATCGCAGGTGTCTTTTCAAAATTGTGAATTTCATGGCCTTTGGTTTAAAACACGAACTAAGTTCAATTGTGCGAAAGTTGTTGCATGTTACTCAGGTGACATATAAGGCCCGTGAGCCTCTTGTTTAAAAATATTTACATTTAACGTTGAATTAAAAATAAAGATAAAGAAAATGAGTCATAAACGTTCAAACGTATTGAAGCAATAAAAACAGGAGCAGATCAAATCCCGATCCCAGACAATATCAGAAGTAGGATCGGGTGACATGAGTTAGAGGGGTTCCATGATGGTTATGTCCTATTCACAATTTCTTTTTATTAGAAGTTGTTCGATGTTTTTAACCTTTTTCACGAGTAACATTGCTAATATGAGATATTCTGTTTATTATTCTATTTTCTTTAGAAAAAATAAGAAAAATGTTACTAGCATTTTCAAAATATTACAAGGAGGTATTTAAGTAAAACTCTATGTCCCCTATCTTCTTTAACATTTTATAGTAATTTAATTCTGTTTGTATTCTTGTCTCTCATTGGTTGATTTCCAAAAAGGAACGCATAACATTTTGTATAATCTGGTTTGGTATGGGGACACACCCCCTTGACAACCAGCTGAATCATCTGTATCCATCAATCCCCTCATTTCCAGTCCTTCGGATTCATGAAAAATTCCAGATTTAATGAATGTACCTCTAACTTCAAACAGTTGCTCGATCTTACCTCATGTAAACAAGCATCATGGCTGCTAGATCTATGTATCAGTTTTTACCTCCCCTTGCTTCCCATCACTTCCGTTACTACAGTTGTATTATTGCGCGGTAAATTTGAACTAATAAAAACAACACAATTTTACATCCCCAGTTGTTTAATTATTTTAAAATTAAATTATAAGGAATGACTCTAATTCTTGGCCAGATTATCGAGTATAATATGGTTTGGGTCAGTTTACGCTTTTTAGTTTTTTATAATCCGCTTCGCGGATTATAAAGCGTAAACTGACCCAAACCATATTATACTCGATAATCTGGCCAAGAATTAGAGTCATTCCTTAAATAAAACTTTTAAATTCTCATTTTGTGAGACATACGTATGTTCTAATAAAAAAAAATACAACTCTCTTTATATATAAGGCCTTGAAAAGATATCAAATAACGAAAATGTTGATATCATGAAAAATACAGAAATATAAAAAAATTGAAACATTTCGTATTTTAATGTTTTATTTTAAATATTTGTTCCTACAAGAGGTGTGTACAAGAAGTGGGTTACAAGAATTGCACACAGTTTCTTCACTTATTGAAATTCTAAACCTTAAATTGAAAACTTCTTTGAATATTTTCTTAACGCATTTTTTATCTTTTCTTTTTACATACAATTAAAAATTCTTAATTTTAAATGAAATAGAAACCCTGCAGAACACGAACACTACTAGATATTTTGGGGAAAATACCCTTAGAATCATAAAAAAAAAAATTGGGACCAAAACTTAAAGTATAGCCTTGTAATTTTTCGGTACTAGGTACAACATCTTAGATTATTATTTTATTTTAAAATGACTTGATTTAAAGCCTGTTACTGTTTACGTGGAACTTACTCGATAGCCATGATTTAGTATTTCCTGTAATAAAACAATCATTATCTATAATAGACGGAGAATGTTGTGAAACTCAATCATAAAAATATTAAATTTGTTATTTCTCTGAGTAATCAGTACCAAAACAGCCTTCGGCGAGGCAACAGGTCGTGTTAAGCTACAGCATACTACATGTACTTTGAATTAGCAATGTCATTTTGCAGTAGATTGTTCTGTAAAAAAAAAAATGCTCACTCTTAAAACACATATCTTTTTTATTGTTGAAAGGATGAGTTTGCATACTTACAGAATAATTTACCTTCTGCACAAGGTCAACAGAGAGAAAAAAATTCTTATAATATTTTTGAATAGCGAATTTGTTACCAAATTTTAATTTGTCGAAATAAGAAATGTACGGAAGCCCTTAAAGGACATTGACTTACTTGTTATGACTTTTTTATTATAATTTATTTATTGTGACTTATTTGTTATAACATTTTCGTGGCTGCTTATAATATTAAGTATATTGTAACTACGGAGCTCGACATTTGAGAACGTGTAGCTTGGCTTATATCTATCAATCGCACCCCCCCCCCCCCGGTTTTTAATATCATTTATTGTATCAATATTCGTACTTTTGATCGATCCATTTTTGCTTCTTCTAGCATTCTGTGAATTTTGACTACTAATTTCTTTTCTTTTTCTTTTATTATCGTATAACTTTTTTGTTATTACTTAATCTCTTGTTGATTAATTGTTAATACTTAATTTTGATTTGTAACATCCAGTTTGCAAACTGATTGAAAACAAGAACATAGCTAAGTCCTATATTATCGTGCTATTAGTAATAAATTCAAAGGCAAAACATTACTGTTCTTCTTTTCTGAAACTTCATGTAGCCTCTAACTTATACGCTACGTTTTTGATTAAATAAACGACTGACAAGAAATCTAAAATCACAAGAAGTTGCAATTAAGTTAGAAGAACTAAGTCAAAACACCTAAGTAGTAAGTCAATGTCCCTCCAGGGCTTCCATAGAAATGGAGACAACAAAAATTTTTAACCTTAAAAATTGCATTTGAAATATTTTTCAATGAAACATATAGAGATAACAAACATCTAGTATTCAAGAGCAAACCCATACCTTCAAACCATCAGAGGTTGGAACAGGTAGCATGGAGGACTGAGCATCCCTTGCCGACCGGTCACACCCTCCATGTGCTCCTTGTCAAACTATGATATGAAAAATTAAGTCAGCTTTCGACTTTATGAATTAATGTACTTGCATTCTCACGTCTGAGAAGGTCATTGTATCGACCAAAAAACATGTAAACTGATGTATTTCACAAGTCCGATGATATTAATCTTATGCGATACGAAGCTAATTTAGTAGTATATTGAAGACTGCAATATACAAAATGACAACGTTAAAAGGAAATAACCGTTTAAATCTTGAAATGAATAATACAATATTCATTGTAAATTTACTGTACATTATATTAGATCATAAGATCATGAGTAATGAATGCTTTTCTTTGAGAATGTGGTATAAAATGTTGAAAACATTGCAGAAGTTAAGTTTCCTATATATCTTTATCAACAGATACAACCATTAAAAACGCATAAACGAACAAAGAGGGCATTTAACAGCCTTTATTTAACAAATAAATCCATTGCAGCATTTGTTGAATTTAGAGTTGTAAGCAGTAGTTCCACAGCAGCTTGTGCCTCTGGCTCGGTTATTTACAAACCCGTCACAGCAAATTTCGAAATCTGAGTTATACGCTCTTGTTCCACAACAACTCGCTCCCTTCCTGTTCCGAGTTACAAACCCGTTGCAGCAAGCATCGAAATCCGAGTTATAGGCTCTAGTTCCACAGCAACTTGCGCCCTTTCTGTTTCTAGTCACAACTCCGTTACAGCAAAGGTCAAAATCCGAGTTGTATGCCATAGTACCACAACAGCTTGTGCCCAGTGCTCGCCTATTTACAACTCCGTTGCAACAAACATCAAGCCTAGGGTTGTACAGTCGATTTCCACAACTATCTGTACAGAAAACTGAAGATTGTTAGTGCTATTGATAGTAAGGAGGCTGAGGGTCAACAAATTAAGATATCACTTTATTCACAAGATATGATTTCTTGAGCAGTCAACTATCATTTGGTAAAGAATATTTCATACATCTTAGTCTTTGAGGTAGGTTCACAAACTCCATAAAATGGCCCTGTCAATATACCAATTAACTGACCAAGTCTTAAGGTCCCATTTCGACCATCAACATAAAGTAGAGACTTAGAGCCTTCAGTTCATATAAAAAATTTTCGTCTAAGAGTCAAAGTTTGGAAACTCAGACGTTGTGAAACTGCAATGTTCTTGATTTTTTAAGAAAATGGGTGAAATTGAGCATCTTTAACTTTTGATAAAAATATGAGCCCACCCCGCGATCCGAAAAATTTTTCATGGACTAGAATCTTCTGAAATTGTTCTTTCATTTTATAATTAAATAATTTAGATCAGAGGTTGGGGGCTATGCAAAATATTAAAAAACAGCTTAATTTTTTTGTCATTTTTAGAGAATTTTTCCAGATTTGAGGGAAATGACGAAATTCATGACGTCATAATACATAGTCAAGAGACAAAATTACGTCATTTTTATTTGATATGAAGTCACCAAGGGTCCAAGTGAAATTTAACATATTTTCAACTAAAACTGAGTTGTTCTGATTTTTCAAAAATTCACAGGGCCAAAAATGGACCAATGTGACTTTTATGTATATCTTCATGTGGAGCTCTTCTTTTTAAGGAGATCAATATAGTCTCAAATGGCAACCTCCACCCCATCCCACACCCTTACCCCCTTTAAGCACCAAATGTAGAAAATTATAAATGTGACTACTAAAAAACTAATAAAAGGGATTAAATTCTCCGTTAATTTAAAATTCATTTAAAAATGAAAATTAAAAATAAAATTTATATGTGAGTTCATGTTAATTAATGAACCTTAAGAGGGTGTATAGATTTAAAACTAACCATTAAACCTATGACTTCGATTCAATTTGCTTGATTTTTAAATACAAATATTTGATAAATTGAGGTTTAACATGGTTTTCAATTCTTAATTATTACGTCCCTTTTGAGAAGTTTTCACTTGGTAAGAGACGTCTTAAAATAAAATATATGATAGGATAAGAGCTGATTTTTTTTAAAACAAAATTTTGACATTCTTAGCGAGGGTTTTGAGAATGCTAAGCTTGAATATCGCCTACATTTGATAGCACTTAATACATGTATATACAAAATGGCTAAAATTACTAGTCGCATAAGATTAAATAAAACAATAGATAAAAAAAACATTTTCAAATACTTCTAAACAAATTACTTACAGGGAACATGAAAATAAAAACTAACCTCCATAAGCTAAATTTGCGATTTGAAGAAAAAGAATAAAAACGAATGCAAATTCAGAAGCCATCGTCTTCATTCCTGCAGTGCAAAGGATGTCTACAACGAAAAAAAAAATTCACATAATTTTTTTCACAAAAATTAATACAGATTTTAATTTTCTTCTCTTTTTTTTATTTTTTAAATCAGCAAAATGAACATAAATTATTATTCTTCGACAGATTCAAGTCATACAACTACCTTCTCACCTTGGTTATGATTTTCCACAAAGATTAAAATAAAACAAAATACATTAATGATAGAGAGTTTGATCTATTTATAGAGTTTTTTTCATTATACAAATGCGTAAATAATTAGATCCAAGGCTAGTCATTAGTTATTGTCAATTTATATCATATTATCATCGCTCTCTTCCTTGCTTTACCGGATAAAATTTATAAGATCTATCATAATTTACGTTTAAAAATCCTGAAATTAAATCACGGTAATTGTCCTTTGCATTGCCATCACTTATTGTATAACATTTAGTGGTTAAAACTAAGTATGACTTAACCAGAGTCATCAATTATATCATTATTGCTTTAATCTTTACTGGAGTAGACAGAAGAAAATTTATTTAGGTCCCGTTTAGCAGTAGGTGCTGAGAAAAAAAAAGGATCCTTCACTGCTCATGACCCTGAGTACCAAGTATAACCTGAATTTAGTCAAAGAATATATACGTTAACGAGCACTTATAAAGTAGACATATTTATGTAATATATGTATACATGTACATGTTTATATATATTATTCAAATATGTAAATTACTTGGAAACATGTACAGTCAATTCTCGAATTATCGCCATTCGATTCATCGCCATTTTCGCAATACCGCCATGATTTCCCAAGAACGTTTTACCTGCTATATAAAATTCTCTTTATAACGCCAAATTCGCATACCGCCATCCGCCACCCTGTTTTCAAAACAAACGTCCATTTTTAAGTGTCAATTATCTCGATATACCGCCACAGGTGCTTGCGGTCAGTGAAGCGCGGCTAATTGGTTGACGCTATCCCTGTTGTAAAGCATGCAAAGCCAGACAAGGTACACGCAATTAAATAATTAAATTGGAATTAATTGAACAAATAATTTTAATATGAACTGTTATAATGATTTTGTTCTGTTGTTTGTTTAAAAAAATCATTTAGTCACAGCTTTGCCACGAAAGCGGTAGTTGTTAAAGTACGCTGAATACGATATTATTTTGATGATCTCTGCTTTAAAATATGCAAAGTTTGCTTGAAAATAATTATACGGTATAAATTGTGAACGTTTCACTAACAATGACCGATGCCATAAATAATAAATTTATTCAAGAAACCATTTTACGTACTGTCAGCAATATATCACGACGATCGACCCAGCATATTTTTTTTTTCAATATCAGACGTGCCAATTTACATGTACATACATGGATGCACATGTACTTGTCTTTATTTCATAACTGCACATTTTTTTAAAGGAATTGTATTTTAAATATTACTTGAAGTATTTTAAAATTTAGAAATATGTTTTATGTACATGTAATTATTATATAAGAATAGAAACGCTTTATGGTATTTCTAAGAACAGTAACTCTACTTCTTGTTCCCTAAAAGCTGGGAAATTCAATTCATCGCCAAATTCGTTATACCGCCATGATTTCTAAATTACAAAAGGTGGCGGTTTATCGAGAATTAACTGTACATGTTTATATATATTATTCAAATATGTAAATTACTTGGAAATTGCTCGTTATGGTATATATTCTTTTTTTTATTCTGAGTTAAACTAGATCGACATTTAGTGATAGTTGAAAACGCACCAGTGTATTCCATTTCTAATGCAACTTTTCTACATAGTGCCATTGTGTACTTCCTATTTTACTCTTTGATCTGACACTTATTTCGGGTCTCTCAGAGCAAAATACGGACATTGCAATTATAAAAATATGGGAGGCGGGGGGTAATCATTTAGTGAGCTCATTGCTCACAATTACCTTTAGTTTTAATGAGATCGCTGAGGAAAAACAATGTCTTACATTGTTTACAATGCCAGTTGGATAAACGAGAATAAAGAAAATGATGAGATCGTTGCAGTTTGTTTAACTACTGAATGTTGGTATTTAGTTTTTAAAATTGTCATTTTGTTGTCAAATCAAACGTTACAAGTATTGCAACAATGATGAACGCAATTGTACAGGAAACATCTGGTCAAGTTTGCATCAATAAATTGGCAGGTCTTTAATCAAGGTAAATGCTCACAAATGACAAAAAACATGAATATAAAACGTTTATTTAAACAAAGTGCAGGTTTGAACCAATTGTAATGTGAGAACTTTAAAAAATCTTTCAGAGAAGCAGGAGAGTTAACGATTGAAAAAGGTAATATTGTTGTTGGCAAAGGTTATGAATTATGATGTGAATCTATAACAACCTATTACTTATTTCTAATGCGAGATTGAAAGACATAATTTAGACATTAGCAAAGTCATTATTGGTCATATTAATATGGAAGCATCCTCAGGTAGTGCAGATTAAAGTTTGTTGAAATCATGACCCCCGGGGGTAGGGCGGAGCCACAATGGCCGACCAAAATTTTTCATAGAAATATATAGGAAAATTCTTTAAAAATCTTCTTCTCAAGAATAGCAAAGCCATAATTGATCATACTTATATGGAAGCATCCTCAGGTAGTGTAGATTCAAGTTTGTTCAAATAATGACCCCAGGGGTAGGGCGGGGCCAAAATGGCCGATCAAAGCATCCTTGGGTTAAGGGGATTCAAGTTTGTTCAAATGAAGGGCCACACCCTCATTCAAGGGGAGATAATTGGGAATTAATGAAAATTTGGTGGCATGTTTTAAAAATCTTCTCAATAACCACTGTGCCAGGAAAGATGAAACTTATGGAGAAACATCCTCAGGTAGTGTAGATTCAAGTTTGTTCAAATCATGACCCCCGGGGCTAGGGCGGGGCCACAATGACCGACCAAAGTTTTACATAGAAATATGTAGGAAAATTCTTTAAAAATCTCCTTCTCAAGAATAACAAAGCCATAATTGATCATATTTATATGGAAGCATCCTCAGGTAGTGTAGATTCAAGATTGTTCAAATCATGACTCCCGGGATAGGGCGGGAGCCAAGGCGGACCAAAGTTTTAAATAGAAATATATAGGAAAACAGATTTTCCCGTTATTTCACGATCATGACAAGGAGCACACGGCGGGTGTGACCGGTCAGCAGGGGATGCTCACTCCTCCATGCACCTGATCCCACCTCTGATGTTTCGGAGGTCCGTGTTTGTTCTGCTCCTATTTTGTATTGTTTTATTGACTTTGAGATTGAATACTGTTCGTTATCTCCATATCCTTCTTACATAATCATTTGTCAACAAATATACTTTATAATGTAATGAGTATTGGATTAAGAATAAGAAATTTTGATTTTATTTTTAGACATCCAGTGCAAAAGAAAAACAGGTTTCTTCAAGATGATTTTCATTTTGGTAATATTTTCACTTCTTTCGACCGCAAAGTCGTCTATTAGGCCATGGATAGGTTTGTTCTCTTGTCGCATTTTTCTTTGATTTTAATTATCAATAAATTTCAGGGATATTTTTGTCAAACTAAATGAACATATGTAAAACTTAGGAAGTTGTAATAATTTTTGGGGAAATGGATTAGGGTTATAGCTTTGCATCAATGTCGCGATGAAAAAAGTTAATTTTTGAATTGGATGACTCTAATGAATGTAATGGAAACCAGTCATTTGGGTGAAACCTCATAAACTGAGGCCCCTGTTGTAGGAGGTGCTGGCACGAAAACGATTTATCACGGCTTGAAGGCCCTTTGATGTTTAATACAGTTCTAAATTCCTTCTCTGGCAAGTGTAATCTTAGTATGAGAGAAAAATTCTAGGGGATTCTGAAGAACAAACACAATAAACAACAAATAAGAATTAAAAGGGAATTCTAAAAAGCGAAAATAAAAAAAAATAATAAAAATCTTGAATTGTATTTTTTTTCAAAATCAATAACTAAATGAGATATATGACATTTCTTTTCAGAAATTAGTAATAAAATGATGTATGTGTTTTTCTTAATTATCTTTCGGTGCATAATACCTCTTAAGGGAATTTTGTTTCATGGTGGATACACACATTTTTAGATACTGTTTTCAATTATTGCTAGGAATCAACTGTTCAGGTTTACAGTTGTATAGAGATTCTAACAGACAAGATGATGTTGCAAGAATTTATATCAGCATTCATAAATTTTATGGACGTTATAATGAACTTGTTTGCTAACGAAACCTATGATTCAGTTGTGTTTGGTTTTATACAAACATTCTTTGTCCTTGAGGAGAGTCTGCCAGTCATCCTGTCGCCTGCGTGGGGTTGGAATCCTGCACTGGGACGTGGAGACCGGTCCTTCGGATGAGACTGCATAAACCGAGATCACGTGTCGCAGTAGGTGCTTGCACGAAAAAATCCCTCGCAGCCTAATGGCCCTGAGTGCCAAGTATAGTACAAAATTTGCTGCTCTCCACTGTCCAGGGGTGACGTCTCCATATGAGTGAAAAGTTCTCGAGAGGGATGTTAAGCAATGTACAATCAATCAAGGTCATCAAATTGAAACTAACACTCAGGATTCTCGGGGTTCTAAAGATAAACAAATAAAATATTTGCACAAATTAGTAATTTCTTATTCCTGATGAAGAAAATATTAAGTACTTTTATTTATACATAATATTACATCGTGTATTGCTTTTGGTAAATGTTCCATTCAAATCATTAAGTTTCTTTTTTGATTGTCTTCAAATGAAAATCAATTCATTTATTATTGCAATACACTAAACTTTGAGTTTAAAGATATTTTGTTCTTTTTTGAAAACATTTAAAGATGTAAACTTTTAAATACGTTCCTTTTAGATTAAATTAAACATAGCGTGGAGCTTCTCAGTATGGGTAGATAATTTTAACAATAAAACAAAGGCTATATCTCCAATTCATTTTTAAAAACAACTTTGCTTTAATTTGAATCAGTATTTTGTAACGGCAAAAGTTTTATTTCTGAGAGGGATTTTTGACTTTCAATGGATTTTTTACAGATATTTGTAGAACGATGCAATATGATCCTCTCATTGACACGTGCTGCAATGGAATAATTCATTTTGGCAGTGGAAGAAACTGTTGTGGAATCACTTCATACGATCGTAACTTTTATACTTGCTGTAATGGCATACTACATCAGGGTAAGGAAAAGAAATGCTGTGGAACTAAATTATATGATCCAGACTTGAATACTTGCTGCAATGGAGTACTCTATGACGGTAAGGGCAAAAGCTGTTGTGGAACTAAAGAATATGACCCTGATTTCACTACGTGCTGCAATAGAATTATCAATTTCGGTAGAGGCAAAAAATGCTGTGGAACTAAAGCATACGATCCAGAATTAAACACGTGCTGCAATGGAAAAATCCTCTTTGGTAGTAATAAAAATTGTTGTGAAACGAAAGGGCACAACCCTGACATAAACACATGCTGCAATGGAGTAATTCATGATGGCAAGGGGAAAAGCTGTTGTGGAAATAATGTATACGACCCTGATTATAATACCTGCTGCAATGGGGTTATCAATTTCGGGAGAGGCAAAAAGTGTTGTGGTACTAAAGCATACGACCCAAAATTAAACTCATGTTGCAATGGAAAAATCCTGTTTGGTAGGGGAAAAACCTGTTGTAAAACTAAAGGTTATAACCCCGACTTAAATACATGTTGTGATGAAGTCATTTATGATGGCAAGGGAAAAAGCTGTTGTGGATCTTTTATATTCGACCCTGAATTTAACACTTGCTGCAATGGGGTTATTCATTTTGGACGAGGCAAACACTGTTGTGGAACTAAGACATACGACCCAGAATTAAACACGTGTTGCAATGGAAAAATCCATTTTGGCAGCGGCCAAAAGTGTTTGTGACTGGTTAAATCCAATAATAAATTTAGTTTAAAACTATCAGTTTTATTTCTTTTTATAATTATAACGGTATCTAATTACACAATTTTCATAAAAAAAATCTTACATATTTGTTAACAAAATATGCTTAAATAATATGAATATGGTTGATTATTTGATGTTTAAGATCTCTTTAGAGAATTTTTCCTTTATATGTGAGACCACTTGCCGAAGACGGGCTGCAATTTTATACCCTTACTGGACGCCTAGGGTCATTAGGCAATGAGAATTTTTTTTTTCATGCAAACACCCTCTGCGACATGGGGCTTCGATGTGAGAAGTCAATCCTTACGTCGCGGGTTCGAATCCCACTTTGGGACTTGGAGACCGATCCTTTGGATGAGACCGTATAAGCCGAGGTCCCGTGTTGCCGCAGGCGTTGGCACGAAAAAGATCCCTCACTGCTCAATGGCCCTGAGTGCCGAATTTAGAACAAAATTTGCAACTCTCTGCTGGTAAGCGGTGGCGTCTCCACATGAGTGAGAAATCCTCGAGAGGGACCTTAAACAACATACAATCAACCAATCAATCATTTACGGTTCCATCCAACGAACCAGTTTCTACGTCCCGAAATGGATTCGAACCCGCAACATAAGAATCGGATCCTTATTCCGTGACAGACGTTTAAACCACCTTGAGACTCTGGTAACAAAACATGATTATAACATCAATATAAAACAAAGCAAAGAATACTTGGGTTTTTATCAAAACTAGATCGTAAACATGTGATTTTGATGAACAGTGATCCATTTCATTAATCGGATAAACAACAAACATCTTGAATGGTAGAAAAACGGGCCCTTGACAAAACAGAAGGAAGACTAAGCATCCTCTGTTGACTGGTCACTTCTCACTTGTTATGAGTACTCCGTCTTCAAATTGAGTATGAAATGAAATATGTGATATAACAAACAGATTTCGAGCTCAAAAGTCCGTTAAACATAACAAAATAGGAGCAGAGCAAACACTGATCTCTTAAACATCAGAGGTTGGATTAGGTGCAAAGGAGGAGTGAACATCCCCTGGCGACCGGTAACACACGTCGTGTGCGCCCTGTCATGTTCGGAAAGAAAGAACCACATTAAATATCAACAAAATAGGACTAAACTACAGTTCATTTTACTATCAAGGTCCTTGTAACGATTGCTAGATAGACCTACCACGAGAAGCTGATTTTTGACAGTGCTGTTGAAATCAATTTACCATCAACTCATTTGACAGTAGCTTGCCTTGTCTAAAAAAATGACCGAACCGATAACTTGTTCCTCCGTATCAAATCTGTAGGAAGACATATGATAAATACCACATGCAGGAAAAGTTGGAATACTCACAATAGCCTAGTTTACGTCACAAAATTGCTGATTAGTGATATGTCAAAGAGTGCCATTAAATTTGCATCAAAATTAAAGTGAAAATGAGAGCGGGGCCGAATTTAAAAGTTTGTGTTTATTTAATAAAATGTTTAGCTTGTTTCGGTGAAGGATATGGAGATAACGAACAGTATTAAGTATGAAAGTCTGTAAAACAATACAAAATAGGAGCAGAGCAAACACGGACCTCCAAAACATCAGAGGTGGGATCAGGTGCCATGGAGAAGTGATCATCCCTTGCTGACTGGTCACACCTGTCGTGTGCTCCTTGTCATAATCGGGAAATAACGGAAAAATCCGTCGTCAATTCAGTGTACAACTAGTGGATGTAATGACAATGTCAGTAGTGTTGGAAATCTTTCCAGTTCACAGGGTAACAATGTAAATGTGACTGGATTTTTTAACCATACACAGAGACGTAAGCGTAGTCATGGGCATCGGTCGTACAATAAACCTGCAATACACGACGTCTCTTTTGATTCATTACAACCTTTTGTAAATAAACAGTTAGGTCTACATCATATTCGCACCAAACAGTTTTTTTGCGACTGAACAGATGCATATCGTGCGCTTTTCATTCAAATTTACCAAATATATCATTAAATCAATATGAGCTGCAACTTTGATGTCAAAATTGTTTGTCGTAAAATTGTAAATAACTATTTCAGTGAGAGAAAAAAATAATGTTAATAAACTTCTGTCGTTCATATTTCCGATGGAAGAACTGTCTATAAGCTTCGTTTGAATCAAAATTACATTATTGTCGTCTTGTACAATAATGATTTCTTATGTAAATCTGTATATTGGATTGTATATAGAAGTCTTTCTATTGCTTTATTTTAGTCAAAATTATAAAGGTTTAAGTTAAATACAAATTTATCATTTTAACACATTTTAACAGCAAAATAAAATTTTCAAAAATGCAGCTCATATTGCTTTAAAGAATAAGGTAAAAAAAAAAAATGAAATGTGCACTTTAAAAAAACATAATATTCTCTTCTTATACAGAATTAACGTAATTAGAATCTACTGGAAACTCAAGGGTCTTACAACTTAGATCTGCGTCGTACCACGTGGATTCTTACATGACACGTGCCTACACTGTCGGGTTTACAATTAAAATGTAATTTGAGGTAAAAGCAATTCTCAAAAGCAATATATTATAACTCTGCTATAAATTAATAATCGTTAACAATATAGTCTGCATTTCGACAGATTTAACATAATTAATTATAATTTAATTTAGTCTAAATAGTGTAATTTGATTGGACTAGACAGTCACCCGACTGTGTTTTATATAGTATAAAGAATGTAGGTATAGAGCCACGCCCCCTTGGCAACAGTGAGCCGGAACTACTTTTTACCATAACTTCCTGTTTACATTAGAGTTTGTAGTAAAATGTTCATCATTTTATAAAAAATAATAAAAATATTTAAAGAAATTCTTTTAATTTTATTTTTGTGCCATCTTATACTAAATTACACAATTATTATGTAAATAAATAGTCAAGGCACTAATAAGATGGAACTATATGAGTTGTGATTTGTTGTCGTCTGTACAATGGCAGATTTTGACATGCTGGGGGTAGGAGAAAATGTTGAAATTGAAGAAATTGATTGGGAAACCCTTCATCCAATCTTTGATGGGGAACTTGATGTATCAACATCTAGAAAGGAGGCTGAGGAAGAGATGGAAATGGTTTTAAATCCTATAAAAACAGAGGAAACCATGCTTAGAGACCCAGACTCAGACTGCAGGAAAAAAAGATTCAAAACTGTTAATGAAACAGAGCTGCAGGAATTGAAAGAAAGAAGGCAGTCAAAAGCTACAAAGTTTAATACAAAGTGGGGAGTAAATTTGTTTCAAGGTAAATGCATGTTTTAACTATTATAAATGTAAATTATTTCAAGTCAACAACATTTTTAATATCCAGATTGGGACTTGAACCCAAATTCCCCACACAAATTGCATGGTTGCTTTACCATTAAGCTATCTGGATTTATATGAAGTATGACTTGATAAGTTGATAATAAGAAAGGTCCCCCCTTTTTTGTAGAATGGAGTGTTGAAGCTTTGGGACTGCCAACTGATTTCCATAATATTTCCCCTTTTGAGCTGAACAAACGGCTAGAAAAATTTTATGCAGAGGCTACACCTAAACCCAATGAAAAAAGGTCACAATATATGACAAAAGAACAAGCAACAGAATACCACAGTAATACATACAAGAGCATAAGATCAGCAATTAATCGCCATGTTCACGACATTGGACGTCAGTTTGACATAGTGCGTGACAGAGAATTTAGGGGTAGCAATAATGTCTTAGACGGAAAACTAAAAAAAAATTTACAAGAAGGGCTCTCTCGACCAACAAAGCACAAGGCTGTTATTCCAAAAAATGATCTTGATAAAATTTCAGCATACCTTTATGGAGATTCAACTCCTGTGTCTTTAAGATTCCGCATCTGGTTTTTAATCGCCATTCAGTTTTCAGCAGGGGACTCGAGTTTCACGAGCAACTAAAGGTCAACTCACTTGAGTTTCACTTCGATGAAAATGGACACGAGTACGCTGTTTTGTCCCATGAAACTAAGCAAAAAAACTGGCAAGGGGGCATAGATGTGTCTGAAACCCCTAAGGAAAAAAGAATGTATGCAGTACCAAATGCAGGGGAACACTGTCCAGTCAACTCTTTAAAGAAATACCTCTCAAAGATGGACCCTACTGCAACATTTCTTTTCAACAGATGTTCAAAAGAAGCGTTATCCTCTCCAACTACAGAGGAAATTTGGTACACTAATGTTCCTATCAAAAAATACCAATTCACACGTTTTATGGCTGACATTTGTAAAAACGCAAAATGTGAAAATTCTTACACTCCATACAGCTTACGTGCAACCTCCATACAAGGCATGAACGATGCAGGATTCGAAGTGCGACACATAATGCACATGAGTGGCCATAAAAACGAATCCTCTGTAAGGAGTTATAGCCGAGAATGCGCTACTTACCAGAAGGCGTCGATGAGTAGAGCTTTGTCCAATCTGATCGTCCCACAAACGGAAAGAAATGACACTGTTCAGGTTACAGGATCCAGTCATGCCGTCACATGTAAACATCCTGACGTCTCAGCCCAAATAACATCTGCAGAAATCATTCAGTCTTCAACCTTTTCCTCTGGATTTATATCCAACTCGGCCTTTCTTCAATGTGTTTTTAATTTCACCTCCTCCAAGTAGATAACCTGCACTTGCTTAACGTGTTGTTAAATTCCGAAAAAATGGCCGTCGATTGGGTGGATTGAAGCTCGTCGATCTCTAGATCACCTTGTTACTAGGATGACGTATTCTTACGCGGTTGAATTTAAAATTGTATTATTTTTACGAAATAAAATTTGTTATTTTGAAATATTTAGTGTTGGAAATTAAATTGTAAGGAATGAATTCTTATTTTTTTTAATTTTATACGATATAAAATGGTTTGGGACAGTTTACGCTTTTTTATAAACCGCATCGCGGTTTATAAAGCGTAAACTGTCCCAAACCATTTTATATCGTATAAAATTAAAAAAATAAGAATTCATTCCTTAAAGAAATGTCGAC